CACTTACCAGTAGAATGTAAGAAGATAGCTAGAACTCATAGTTGGATTGTCAGAGGATAACTAGCATTTACCAGTGGGTTTCAGAGAACAACCAGCACTTACCAGTAGTTTATCACACGGCAGCTATCACTTACCAGTAGAATATAAGAAGATAGCTAGAACTCACAGTTGGATTGTCAGAGGATAACTAGCATTTACCAGTGGGTTTTCAGAGAACAACCAGCACTTACCAGTAGTTTATCATACGGCAACTATCACTTACCAGTAGATTATAAGAATATAGCTAGAACTCACAGTTGGATTGTCAGAGGATAACTAGCATTTACCAGTGGGTTTTCAGAGAACAACCAGCACTTACCAGTAGTTTATCACACGGCAGCTATCACTTACCAGTAGAATATAAGAAGATAGCTATAACTCACATTTAGATTGTCAGAGGATAACTAGCACTTACCAGTCGGTTTGCAGAGAACAACCAGCACTTACCTGTAGTTTATCATACGACAGATATCACTTACCAGTAGATTATAAGAAGATAGCTAGAACTCACAGTTGGATTGTCAGAGGATAACTAGCATTTACCAGTGGGTTTTCAGAGAACAACCAGCACTTACCAGTAGTTTATCATACGGCAACTATCACTTACCAGTAGATTATAAGAATATATCTAGAACTCACAGTTGGATTGTCAGAGGATAACTAGCATTTACCAGTGGGTTTTCAGAGAACAACCAGCACTTACCAGTAGTTTATCACACGGCAGCTATCACTTACCAGTGGATTATAAGAAGATAGCTAGAACTCACAGTTTGGTTGTCAGATGATAACTAGCACTTACCAGTGAGTTTTCATAGAACAACCAGCACTTACCAGTAGATTATAAGAAGATAGCTAGAACTCACAGTTGGATTGTCAGAAGATAACTAGCATTTACGAGTGGGTTATCAGAGAACAACCAGCACTTACAAGTAGTTTATCATACGGCAGCTATCACTTACCAGTGGATTATATGAAGATAGCTAGAACTCACAGTTGGATTGTCAGAGGATAACTAGCACTTACCAGTAGGTTATCAGAGAACAACCTTCACTTACCAGTAGTTTATCATAGGCAGCTATCACTTACCAGTAGATTATAAGAAGATATCTAGAACTCACAGTTGGATTGTCAGAGAATAACTAGCATTTACCAGTGGGTTTTCAGAGAACAACCAGCACTTACCAGTAGTTTATCACACGGCAGCTAACACTTACCAGTAGATTATAAGAAGATAGCTCGAACTCACAGTTGGATTGTCAGAGAATGACTAGCACTTAGCAGTGGGTTATCTATCAGACACCAGATAACACTTACCAGTAGATTATCAGAAGATAGCTAGAACTCAAAGTCAGAAGATAGCTAGCACGTACCAATGGGTACAGCAAACATCTAGTGGTAGGTTATCAGATGACAGCTAATTAATTAATTAATTATTTAATAAATAAATAAATAAATAAATAAATAAATAAATAAATAAATAAATAAATAAATAAATAAATAAATAAATAAATAAATAAATAATGTTTATAACACCAAGTCACCTTGTCGTGTTTTATGCGCGCTGTAAACGTCACATGGGACCCATAACAAACACGACGCGGAACGACAATTATGACAATTTAAATTTTCCAACAAAATTAGATGTGTATTTAGAAGTTATAAACGACAAGCTAGGGCATTCGGTGGCGGATATAAGACCTCTATGGGTACAATTAATCACGCGAAGAGGGGTCTTATATCCGCTTCCAAATATCCGAGCGTACGGTTCATAACCTCTCTATAACACAAGAGATCGTTGCTCATATCACATTGCTATATGAAAATGTCTCACAACGTTTTATCTTGGATTATACTGTTATTGTAAGGGGTGACGAGGAGCCATATTTTTTTAAAAACATAATACCCAGATTTTTACTGCTATTGGGTTTTATTACACCTCGCAATAATTGGTTATAAATAGATAGATCGTGCTTGTTTCTAGAAATATAAATTGGTGAACCTTGACCCAGATAAGATAATCTCGAAGATGTTTTATAGCCAGGATATTTAATTCATTCTACTCTAAGACACGATCACTCCATGATATGTAGTCAAGTGGAAAATGCAACACAATTAAAAGTGTAATTAGTAATATGCCCTAATGAGGGTCATATAAGCACGACGCATACGCAATGCATACATGCAGATCATATAATGCACGGCGCATTGCATCGATGGGGGCAATATAGCATTAATCAGGGTATACACAAATGAGGTTCTTATAGCACGATTGATGGTCATATGGCACGAGGCAATACACTAGGTTACCATGTCAACTCGTATATTGTAGCTTTCATTCATCATCAAAAAGGCGAGCGCGTACATGAATAATTAAGCGACGACTCGTTTTAAAAGGACGCACTGGGCGACACAGAAAGTGATTAGACGAGTATAATGACGATAATGCTGAACTATCTAAGCGCCATATACGTAACACGGGGTATCTATTAGGTCATCAGACAGCATAGTTAGGAGACTTATAATTACAAAAGATGAGCTCACCGTTTGTGCGTGATCTGACCATTCAAACGAAGTGCTTCTGATGACAAATATAGGACGAGACACTCTGCGTCTGCATTGCATCCGAGGAGATAAAATACGACCGCGAACATAGCCGTTCCTACTCTTTGATCTGGTGAGACCGTGCATCATATTGAATATCCGCGATTACAAGCCACGTGTGACGTCGAAATGGTACATATACGATCATTGGAAAACGTGTTCTGGTGAAAGTCCTCAAATAACGCCAGATGAATGAGAATGTGTTTCCCCAATTAAATATCAATTTAGAAGTGAAACCGGAAAATATCAGAAACAATATTTGCGATATTACGTAGCAAGAATCTAGACAATTCGGTACCAGCTCACGGACCACACATCTGTCTCCGCGTAGCACTTCAACGCGACGTCTATTGAAAGATGGTCCTTGATCAGATCAGCTATTATTCCTTTTCTTGACTGTATTTTCTGCACACATTAACATTATTAATTGAAGAATATACCAAACTAGAGATGGCCATCGACTTGGCACTTAGGCTAATTGAATTGACTGACGATAAAAGAGGTGTTATCGATATACTGGCTTACAGGTCAGAGGTCATGTACAAATTATATAACACTTCCGTTACTTCTTTTGAAAATAAGTTCTTAAGCAAGACCGCGTCATCTTGATAATTCTAAAATAGTCCAAAAAATAAGGCAATCATCGTTCACAAGGCAACAATCGGGTGGCTTTTTATTTCGCTTTGCATGCCCTTTTGAGTGGCCTCGTCAGAGAATTCCACCTGCCGCTGTCCGTCTTTATGAGGAACGTCGACATGAGAGCCCACTTGCAGCAGTTTATTTTGTGTGACACGCAAAATTATATAATATCAATACATCACATGAATGTAGACAGGCTGTTCATATTTCTAAATTTTATTCAATAAGTTTGATGACATAAATTTAATTCGTTCAGTAGCTAGGCCAATCATTCTTAACAGTTGCATGGAACGTTCATGGGATTGTTTGGAGAGTTACTGAAATAAACGACTTACAATGACAAATGACAACCAAATGACAGCTACAATTTTCCTCCCAGCCGCTTGGGGCACTAATTTTATAAATATAAAATTAAACACTGTAACCAGTTTCAAGAAGGAGTGAACGTTTTTAAAGAACGTGTATATATATAAAAATAGTCAGCGGGAAATAGACTCCATATTAATGACAGAAAACGCTTTAAATTTTTTTTTTTTTGAATATTACAAGTACTATTATCATGGTAACTACAGTTTAAATAGTAAAACATATTCATTTCTAGGTAGGTGAGAAATTATCCTGATCGGCAGAACTGATCGCTATGGTAATCCATTTCAATGTTGTTCCACCACTGTGTTTGACCGTAATTCAAGTTATTATGGGGTTATGCTACATTAAAAACGCTCACATCGTATTAAAAATAATTGTACCGTGCATTTATGAATTTTATGATTGGACCATTAGCAACTCCAGGGCAGATTTGGAAAATAATGTATAGGAGGAAAGTCATGGAAAAGAGTATTGAAGGGGTCAAAACAGAAAAATATTTCACACCGGCAGTGATAAAAAAAAACTACGGCCAATTGATCATTGGGACAGAAATAGTACAAAAATGAAAAAAAAATGCAATTTTTTTTCTGCTATCGCCACTAGAGTTTCTAATGGTCCGCCCCTAATAAATATTTATAGTTGGAGATACTAATTCAAATTAGAGGATATGAATAGGTGTTAATATGTACAGCCTTTTATTCGCGAAGCGCGAATTACTTTCTGAATTCATAGT